CAGTGTCGGATCGCTCGCTGCTCTTTGTTCGCCGAGTTATTACATGCACGATTCTTATTGAGTACGCGAGATTAGTTAATAACAATTATAGTAATCGCGGAATTAAGCTGGCCAGCTTACCTTATTAGCAGTTGTACGGTAGCACGAGAGTAAACGTTCGCACCCTAGTTGCGGAAAAGTCAGTCTTTGTTGCGAGGTATCTTGCGTTTTCAGTTTCACCCTCGACGGCGAAACTGCTTACTCACGCACACTAGCACGCACTCAGCTCCGTCAGGCGAAGGCACAGCTCCTCTCGGTTCTTATCAGTTGACTCTCTTATGCGATATCGATAGCTAATCCTTTTAGTACTCTCAGAAAACTCAGAAAAAACTCCGATCTTTCTTAGCAGCAGCTGAGTGTGCGGGTTCTAATATTCCACTGATTCGTTTTCATACGCGCGCGTTCCGTCTCGTCTCGTGCCGAATTCCCTCAATACCTTTCGCCCCAACCGGCAGGTGCTGCCCTCGCCGGCAGCCGCAAGGTTAGGCTATTAGCGCTAATAAGACGTTTACCGTCACAATATATAATAATCATTTTTTTAATAATTTAATTTATTTTTCTATCTCTGCAGCTTCTTTCAATATCTTCATTCCTTTCATTTCCAGGTCTTTAACTTCTTGAGCTTATCTTTTTTTTCGACTTCTTCTTTAGCTCTGTTTTTATCTTCGCTCTTTTTTTTTATTTAAATAATCAATATAATTAAAGTGAGCTATACCCGTAGATTGCATACTTTTGGTGACGGGCTGAGTCCTTCTAAATGGTTTTATGACTTCATACACACGTCTTAATGCTACAATCTTTTTTCGTTTTGATTTTCTATCAGACACTCAGAACTTACTGAAAAGCTACGTACTAACGCAGCATTCTCATGACTTAATATGGGAATCATTTTTATGAATTGTGCTGAATGTACAGTTGGATTCCTTCAGTTAGTAATCACTTCCATCCAAAACTTATCTAATGGTTTTTGATTGTGATCACAAAACTTTATTGTCTCTATAATATTACTCAATCTACAAACGTTAATATATTCTAATTTCACTTTATCCGCAAAAGAGCCCGAAATCCACAAGTTACTATGTAAGGTACTTAAACAAGAGTCGAGTCTTTTTCCAGTTTTTATTGGGTATTCCCTGACCGAGTTAGAATCAAAACAACTTATAGTTCTCGTGAATCCATACAAAAGTGGAAATGGTTATTGCAATTTTTTCACTCAAGCCAAATGCCACTGCAACAATGTTCTCTGAAACGAGTTATGTTGTACTCACTCGATTTCGGTTTAAGATTTAATAGGAAATTTTTTGTTTCAAATCCCAAATCGATCTTACTCGTAGGAATCAAATTATTGTGCGGTAATTCAACTATTTTTTCTGAGAACTTCTAGTTTTAGAAATCTTCTCATAATAGTGGTCTTCAAATAAGTGATTTCTTGATAAAGAAATAAATATTTTATCTATCTTGATAAAGAATAAAAGACCTTAAAGGATGATCTGATTGAAATTCTCTCAAAAATGGTTCTACTAAAGTGACAAGTGAATTAAAAAACGTTAATTTAGCTGATAAAATTTGTAATAATGCAAAGAAGGAAAATAGTGAGAGCTGGAAATTCCCTTCATTTTAATTATATTCAGCAACGTTTCGTGAGTATATTTGCTCACCTCATCAGGTTTTATTAACAGAAAAACAACAAATTATTAACAATAAAGTTGCAAATGTAATTTTAACGGCATATAATTATATGTATATATATGTACTCCATTTCTCTCATAGTCGAATTATTATAGGCTAAAACGAATAGCTCGTAGCTAATAAAGTTACAATAGAGTAAGAAATCAAGCATTTCAACACATATATACGTATATATTCTTCATATATCATCCCTTCCTCATCGATCTTAATAAAAGCTTGTAAATATGACTAATATGTTGTATATCCTCTTTTCTATTTAAAATGATTGTATGTAAGCCGATGTGCAACATTTCGGATATTCTGCGTTTCTTATAATTCTTTTCATAATCCGATATCTTAGCTTCATCCTAGTCAAATTCGTGTGAGAGAGTTCCTCTAAGTGTAGCTACTAGTGTATCTGAATCAATATTTTTTTTGTGTTCATTTAGTCTAATTTTTAAGCACCGCTTACTTTTACCTATGTAGACCGCTGAACATTGTTTGCAGTTAAAACTGTAGACAATACTAGTGTTGTCTAATAAATCAGATTTGTCTTTTCCTAAACGAATAAACTCTTGTAATGGTTTTTGTAATAAAGGGATTGGAGTAATGTCATGTTTTTTTAACACAGATGAAGAGAACATTTTTTAAAGATGTTGCAATTATTTGGAATAGCGATTATAGGTAGTTTTTGATTTATCAATTTTTTAGAATTGTTCTTCCCTTTTTTATATTTGCTAATCCGTTTGTGTATTTTTTGATAAATTCAGATGGATAATTATTCACGAGAATATTTTGTCAATCGCGACTGTTATTTTTGTATTCGCGCCGAGCGCTAGTTTTCGCAGTCAAATTTCGAATTCTCTCTTTCTCACTCTCTCCATATTATTGTTATTCATTGTAAATCCTATTCACTTGTGAAAGTCTTTCGGCCCATCGAAGACTGTAGTTTATTAGAATTAAACGTTATTAATTTTATTCGCCGAATTACTTTATATCGTTTCCTTAAAATTTAACCGATCTATCACGGATTAAATTTCATCTAGGGGATTAGTTCGAATAAGCATTAGGTCATTCAGACCTAAGATAGATCGAGTGTCATAAGTCAGATGACTTAAGGTGAGTTCAACTCGGATGGAAAGAAGACATAGGAACGAAAGTATCAAACGTAAAGGTGAATACACGTATAATCATACGTGTTTAACGGAGCGGCGGTTAGCTCTGCATCGTGGGAGTTTTTGCTTTAATAAATTTCTTTTTATACTAGTTAATCCTCCGCGTTATAAGTTTTCTTAAATGATAAAATTTGTAATAATGGAAATTAAGATATTTTTGTTCCAAACGATCACGTTTTAATATCATTAGATGTACGTTCCTTATTCACGAATATATCTTGTGATTTAGTCTTGGAGGGATTGGACAAACGTTATGAATAAATTAAAAATTGTGAGATTCCAATAGAAGAGATTCAGAGAGGTATAAAATTTTTATTTAATAAGAAATTTTGTGTTCAAAAAAATTTATTATAAACAAATATTTGGAAGCCCGATAGGCTCCTCCATATCTTCTTTATTAGCTGATATTGTAATGCAAGACTTAGAGAAAAACTGCCTGAACGTGTTGTGGAATAAATATCGAATTAATCCTGTTTTCTGCTATAGATATATTGATGATACTTTGATGTGCGTTCCGAAAGATAAAATTGATTTAGTTGTCGAGACGTTTATTCTTATCATAATAGATTACAATTTACGTTTGAAATGGAAATGAATAATTTTATTCCATTTCTCGACTTAAAATTGATCAGAAATAATAATAAATTAGAATTTGACTGGTTTAGAAAAACAACACAAACTAACAGAATTTTGAATTTTAATTCAGAACATACAATTCATCAAAAAGTTTAGTTGATCGGGTGTTTTTACTTGCTGAAAAAAATTCCGTTCGCGTAATTTAAAAATAGTTACTAATATCCTGAAAAAGAATAATTATCCATCTGAATTTATCAAAAAATACATAAACGGATTAGCAAATATAAAAAAGGGAAGAACAATTCTAAAAAATTGATAAATCAAAAACTACCTATAATCGCTATTCCAAATAATTGCAACATCTTTAAAAAATGTTCTCTTCATCTGTGTTAAAAAAACATGACATTACTCCAATCCCTTTATTACAAAAACCATTACAAGAGTTTATTCGTTTAGGAAAAGACAAATCTGATTCATTAGACAACACTAGTATTGTCTACAGTTTTAACTGCAAACAATGTTCAGCGGTCTACATAGGTAAAAGTAAGCGGTGCTTAAAAATTAGACTAAATGAACATAAAAAAAACATTGATTCAGATACACTAGTAGCTACACTTAGAGGAACTCTCTCACACGAATTTGACTAGGATGAAGCTAAGATATCGGATTTTGAAAAGAATTATAAGAAACGCAGAATATCCGAAATGTTGCACATCGGCTTACATAAAATCACTTTAAATAGAAAAAAGGATATACAACATATTAGTCATATTTACAAGCTTTTATTAAGATCGATGAGGAAGGGATGATAGATGAAGAATATATACGTATATATGTGTTGAAATACTTGATTTCTTACTGTATTGTAACGTTATTGGCTACGAGCTATTCGTTTTAACCTATAATAATTTGACTACGAGAAAAATAAGGTACGGATATATACATATAATTATATGCTATTAAAATTACATTCGCAAGTTTGCAAAATCAAGTTTAAGGTCAAGTTTAACGTCATCATCAGTCGGCAGTCTCTGAACTCTACAACTATTATCTATAATATTTTTCGAACGGTTTGCAAAGTTTTCAGTTATCCTACAATCTAATTTAATATTTCACACTATATGTCTATATTTTGTCACTTGTGCAATCGTAAGTCTTAGTGAAATGACACTTATGCAGAAGTATACAAAATGGTTTTTTATTATTTTCCCATGAATATTCACTTCTGCAGACGCAATATAATTATGCGGACTGTAAATATATGTATATAATGGATTTAAGGGGTAATTCCCTAACCCATTTCACGGGTAGAAAAATATCGGTCAAGCTCTATCTATTTCGTGTTTAGTAACTCTCAAAACAACTTTAAGGTCACACAAACACACACACACACACGCGCGCACACGCACAGATATATATAAGCTAAAATTTAATCAGCATTATGTATGTATAATATAGTATGAATGGACGTACATATCTGATTTCTTGTTTGAAACGTACTAATATTTTTAATATAATTGAGTAAATAAATTAGCACCTTACTTGTTTTTAGACTGATTGTGAGTATCATCAACGGTCGCTGCTATGTTTCCACGTTGTGTCAATCTCACGCTGACTCTGCGCTCCTGGCCATCTACACCAGGCACTAAAAAACATTATATACTTTCAAGCTTTTAAATGCGATTTCATGTCATCGAACATTCAAATTATTTCATCCATTACATGACTATATGAAGAATTTCAAATGAAGGATTAATAATTATATAGAAATATCGTACAAAAACTTCTAGGCAAAACTAACACTTATTTTTTATACCAGAAGTAGTTTTCATTAACTTATCTTTTTAATTATTAACAAAAATTAATCGTTAATTGAAGAACTATAATAGATAACCATTATTAAATGTCAATTGTTACGGTCACGTCACGCATGCGATATGCTGCATACATGAAGCACTCAATACTAATTAAGATTATAATTCTCGGTTCTTCTCATTATCTTTTATTTTCTGTTCAACTTCTACGTATTACTTACACACTATCCTATTATTAAAGTCAAAAGTTGACGTTATCACTTTTTATCAAAAAAAGTTTTGATTTAATCTATGCTGTTTTGAAAAAGTTTTTTCAGTTTATTACATATGAACAATGTTTTTAAAAAAATCTTCTAACGGTATGTAAGATACGTCGAACTACGCATATATAACGTATATGAGAGCATAATTATACAACCGGATGTTCATCCGACTATCGATACATTATCTATATAACCTACAAATAAACGTGTTACAGACTGACCAAACCAATCGGCTGTCCGATTCATATGTGGTTAAGGTAATAAATGTTTTTATTTTAAGCATTCACGATACTCGTGCAATGATTGAAATCACTTGTACACCATTTTCTAAGTAATGAATTTTAGTTAAAATTTGTTGTACGACTATTAATTAATATCAGCATCAAATCAAAAAGTAAATATAACAATCTAAAATATTGATAAATATCGATTATTTTACAAACTATTATATCACGTAATTATGTCACGAACTTTAGTCAACACTTGACAATTTTGTGACTTCTATGGAGTATAGCGTATACCATACGTATATACTATAAGCGCTTTTATAACGATGATTATTGTTTATTGTGCAAATTTAAGTATATTTATTTCAAGAACATAATCGTTAACCTGAAAATTGAATTCATCAGATAACATAAATGTAATTTAGGATAACAGAAATAGAAAGATAGTCAACGAACTACCATTAAAAACAAAAAATGTATTTAACTATAATGATAAATGCAATACTCTTAATTAAATTTAATTTTTCTACTGTATGAAAAGTAGCAATAATAATTCTTATTTCTAAACCAGGTCAATCATCCGAACTTGATTTATCATCCAGACAAATCAGCCTATTGCTAATTCTCTCAAAACAGTGTGAAAAAAAATAATAATTAGCCTTTTGACTTGTCATCGAACTACACATTGTAAGAATAGGACAGATGGCAAAACATTTATTTAGGCAAACAAAGACGTCACGCACTTCTTGCCTTCGACGAACTGATTTGGCAAGAAAAAGGCCAAATAAGAAATTCATGGCGAAAAAACCGCTTGACGATCGTGATAAGCGGTCACTTCTGACGCTACTGGCAAAAGGAAGTTCTTCATGAGTATCAGCTGCTCTCAAAGTGACTGACCCCAAGTATACTGCTGAGAATTGGGGATCTCGTCCTCATTATGGATCTGAATTCACCCTCCCCCACTCGGTAGACATTTGCCCAAGTCCTAGAACTGCTTGAAGGGTGGCTAGATTGAAAACAGCCACAACTATCCTAACTCAACCCTTCTTCAAACTAGTCCGATTACTGGTTACTCTCGAGGTGCTTTATCATGGTGGCCGACGCTTCTTCTCCTCCCCCAGTAATGATAAGTACAGACAGTAAGCTAATTGGCCTATATAAAGTCACCAGTTCTATTTCTTTTCCGGGTTTTGGTATTAACATAATTACAGCTACTTTCCAATGAGTTGGAAAGTAGCATTAACGACATAAATTAAAAACTATTGATATGTATTCTATTGTTATTGTTATTGTTATTGTTATTGTTATTACTTCAAGAACTACGTCCACGTGGAACGCTGCAGAGGTAAACTAAGTACCTGTACGCATTAGTCTTGGTTCCCTATAGTCATGAATATTTTTTTTTTTTTTTTTTTATTTTAACGTCGCTCTATTTATGCTCCATCAGTGCTAATTAGCGACGGAGGCTTGCAATGTGTTTGAGAACAAAGCACATGAAACTTTTTTCAGAGGTGCTTGTATCAGCAGGTACTGGGAATCGAACCCGGGCCTACCGGGTGCGAGTCCGTCGCCCTACCGACCGAGCCATTGCAGGCCTCTGATAGTCATGAATATGCAGACTCACCTTCTCTATCATTTTTTTAAATGATGTAGGAGGATAAAGTTGAACACAATCATGACTGGACCTATAGTTTAAGGTGGAATCCGAATCACCGGAAATCACAGTAATACACATATGAAAATTTCATTTCTGAAAATCTTGACATATCCGGGGCTCGAACCCGCGACCTCTTACACAGAAGCCTGGGCTCTTACCCACTGAGCCACCGTGACCCCAATATTGCTTTTGAGAGTAATTTTTTTATCACTTTGCCTGTAATGTAATCAAAACCAGATACTTTTTTATTCTTAATTGAATTTATTAACTGTAATACTTCCTTTATTTTAACTGGCGTAATTAGTGTATTATCTTGGACGTCACATTCTTCTTGTAGAGTTCCTTCTTTTTGTTCTGAAATTTTTCTTTCGTGAGGTTAGAATACTGAATTTGGACGTTTGGCGAATGTTTCTGTTTCTTCACTATCTAATTTCACCCACCTTCTACAAGATTTTTTTATTGGTAGAATGAATGTGGTTGGTCTTTTAAGTCATATAGTGGCTTTTCAAAACGAATAGCCAGTTGCTTCTGTAGGATTAAGTGCTTTGAGTGTTTTCTGCATTTTTATGTTCTTCTCTTTAATCCTTTAATGTGCAAATTGCCAAAATTATCCTGAATTGCTATTTTTGAGTTTGCAGTCCGCTATCTTGGATCCGCCATTTTAAATTTTGATGTAATAATAATTAATTTGGATCTAATGGTGCTGAGAGTTTATAAAACTATTGAATAAAGAGGATTGAAGACTATACAGTGTCTATAAAACTGCGTAAGTACGTTATTTCAGCTGACTCATCACGGCCGCCATCTTGAAAATCAATTTTCTGAGCTAATTTTGCTAATATGCATCTAATTTATTGTCACAAGACTCGCAAAAGTAATTTTTCCCGCTAAAACTTTGATTATACTTCAAAAGTGCATATTACTGTGATTTTGCAATAATTTCAGGCATCCGGGCACTAATTTGGGTTGCAAAAATCAAAGTTTGTCAAAGTATTTTGGATTGCAAAAATCAAAGTTTGTCAAAGTATTTTTTTGAAGTACAACTTTCGGGTCCCGTATCCTAATGGATTTATAAAAATGTTTTGTTTAATTTTGCCTTTATCTTGACTTAATCTAGTAATTAGGTAACTCTTTCTAAGGTGTATGTTTTCCTTGATTTTATCTATAATTTTAATTGAGGTGAATTTTTGTACGTAATATTTGTTTATAATAGTAGAGCACTCATTTAATAATTCAGTGTGTTGAGTATTTTAATGCTGTTTTCAATGTTAATGGTTGTTTTAAGATGGATGTTACATGTGATTCGTTCTTCAATGAGGTGTGTGTATTTATTCTTGTCAATTTCTTTGTAGGTATTTATAATTTTATGTAACTCTGTTTGTAATGTGATTAGTACTGAAGAGTGGTTAGATATTAAGTCTAAGCAAGATGATGCTTCAAAGTATTTTTTATCAGTACCTTTTACAATTGTAAAGTCTTTTAGATCAGATAACTTTTTAAATCAGCTGATCAATAGGTTGGTTCTCTATCGTAATCGGAATGCAGTTATTTTTTTGTAAGACTTTATAGAGTAATCTACCTCTAGTTAACCGTAATCAGGCCTCTGTTATTATTTATACTCACGCTGGGTGCTTGTAAGTTCATTTCGCTTGTAAGCGATTGAACAAGATGTTCTATTGTTGTTTTTATTGTAATCGTAGAACCTCCGTGTGCTTTATCCAGTGATCCAGTGCGTGGATTGTTTTGTGTACAGTGTAATTTGGTATGTTTAAGGAGTTTTTGCTTGTGGAGTGAGTTTCAGAAATTAACATGATATCAATATTTTCATATAGTAACAAAGCTTTTAGTTCGAAATGTCTCTTCATATGTCCGTTTACATTCCAAATTACTATTTTTAATCTGCTCATTATGCTAATGTATTAACAAGGATCGTTTAAAGATTTAACATCGTATCCATTTGTTTCATTAGTTGCCCTAACATATTTAAAAGTTTGTTATTATTTACTTCATTATTGAGTCTGCTGTTTTCTGTTTGGGTGTTTGTTTTGATTCGTCTGCCTCAGTTTGTTTTGATTTGTTGTTGCTTGTGCATATGTTTTGTTTCGTTTTGCTTCGTATGTGTTTATGTTTGTATTTAAATTAAGTTGGGTATAATGAGTTAATTTTCTCTTAACTTTGTGTATAATTTCCGTTATAGATGAATACGTATTGGATATCACTTGTAGTTTGCAGTGTAGTTCCCTTGTCAATTAGCGCACTTTACTTCCTTTACTTTTATTAATGGGTGCATACCTCTTTATTTTTTTTTAATTGTGCATTATTTCGTTGCATGTTGTTTTGCACACTCCTTTTTTGAAACAATAATTTTTTGTATGTTCGTATTCTTGGCAATTTTGACATTGCGGAATGTCTCATTAAGTGTATGGTGGTTCTAATTTTACCACAGTATTTAATAGTTTGTTCACCCTGTATATTTCTTGATTTATGTAGTCGTGTTCTATTTTTACGATAAAAAATGATAATGGACTCTTAGTCACTCGAAAACGGATGTTATAGATGTTTATTATATTGTGTTTTGTATTCTGCTATGACGGCTTTAATTTCATCAGTGTCCATTGATGGGTGCATACCTCTCAGTATCACTTTGAATCCTTTACCTTCTTTATGTTATATACTCATGGCTA